CTATGGCTTCAAATTGGAATTACCCGGTTCCAGCCTTTGGACAAGATTTGACCTGCCAAAGCAGCTGACTTCATCCCTGCCCTCTGTCATAATCTTTCTTGAGATCCCAGGGCTCCTCCTTGCTGTCTGACTGACTGCGTGTCTATGCCTCCTGTCTCACGACAAGCATGCAGACGTGCTTTTTGATAGAAGATGTTTGTACTTCGGCCAAGGGACATGATGTGTTGTGTTGGTCATGTCACTGGCGATAGCATAAGGCCAGTGAGAGTCTTTGAGATCTATGTACTCTGCCTCAGTTGAAATGTTGAGGCGCTTCTTTTGATACAACACTGAGGGACTAGGTGTGTTCTGTAATCTACAGCTTATGGAATCTTCATGCATTTTTAGCAATGTGTTTTAAATGGGTACAGGTGCCAACGGCAAGCATTACTGTGGAGGGCAATCCTGCTCTGAACCGTGTGAGATGGACGCATTCTGGGAGAGAGATTGCTGTAGGTGATTCAGAGGGACAAATAGTTATATATGACGTGGGAGAGGTATGTATACCACGTATTGTGCAAAGTACATTACAAAACACTCAAGTTTCTTTGACTTTTACTCTTATTTAGCAACTTGCTTTCAATTTTTTTCCCCTGTCATTAGAGGAATAAGGTTTAAATTTTATTTTCAAATTAATGTTTCCTTTTTGTGTCCGTTTCGGGTATTCTAGCATAACTTTTTAGCATGCTATCTGGCAGCCAATCAAAAAGTAAAAACATTATTGTAAGGCTGGTGAAATAAGATGAAAGAATCAGCGATTTTGTCTGTAGAGACTTTATCTTCTTTGTAACTGCGGCGCATGTGAATTCTGACCATAGCTTGAGAAGTACCGAACAAAAAATTTTGCAGTGAAGCAGTCTTGACTTCGTTTCTACAGGGAAGCTGTTGCTATTGCAAGTACGTGTACTGCAGTAGTACGTAACTAATTGATTGGATGAGGACATGGCATTAGTATTCCCCTTTGGAGGCAGTGTCTCAGACGGAGACGTATCATGCAAGCTTGTAATAGTATCATTACATACTTAAATATAGGATTTTCAAATTCTGCTTCTTTCATTAGTTAGAGCTTTTGATGTTCAGACTACTAACTAACTAAAAGTTACACTAAATAAAGGTAAGCTTTTCTATTGGAACCTCTTCTGAACGTTACTTAAGCACTCTGCTGTTCAAAATGAGCTCAGGTTTTATTTATCAGTAGGTTTAAATGACATTCTCTTTGTCAACAGCAAATTGCCGTTCCTCGCAGTGATGAGTGGACTCGATTTGGTCGAACACTGGCAGAAATAAACGCTAACAGAGCTGATGCAGAAGAGGAAGCTGCAACCCGCATACCGGCGTAGGCCTTTAAAATAGGCAGCAGTGGTAGACTATGAATGATTTGATGCAAATCTTAAAAGTGTAAGCATGTGTCAGTTCAAATAATAGCTTAAGGGAGGAATATATGGATTCAGCTATGGACTTTGAAAATGTATTAAGATCACTGAAAATCAGATCTTGCATTGTCACTTTTTATATATCAATTACAAGCACATTCTTGGATTTGTGTAACTTTTAATACAGTTAACTGACTTTGCAAGGAACTTCTTTTGCTGAAATGCTAACCTGGTGTAAATTTGCTATTGGGCTTCTGAAATTTCCACTTTGTAACAGCATCTGTTTCTGAAAAGCAAAAGTTCTGTTTCTAAACTAAACTTTCTATATTACACACTAACTTTCATTAGGCAGTAAATTTCTGAAGCATTCTTTAATTTGAACTCTTCAAATTACCCATGGATATGCATGCATATGTTCCAAGTAAGTTTCATTGTTTATATATAGATAAGCCTCAGACTCTGGTAGCGGGTAATATACGTGAATAAAAATTTGTCTGTAGTTACAAACTTATTTGATAATTGGACCTGAATTAATGAAATACATATTTAATACCAAGTTCTTTTGTTTGAATTGGTGCATTAAAAGGTGAGACTGATTCACAAATAAATATTATATGAGCTCTTGTCAACTGCCCTGACCCCTAATCTCTGTCCCTTCAGTAGTTTGAGAGTAGAAAGTTCCTGGGAGCTGCTGCTTTCATTTTACTACACACATCACAAGAGTTGTTTTCTACCCCCAACCTCCACTTCCTACCATGGCAATCGGCCAAAAAGAAAAAGGCTTCTGTTGTCAAATTTTTCTTTTCCAAAGGATAAGGAACTAGATTTTGACTTAATTTCTATAGCATGATGGTTTGCATTCTGTTAACTACAGACTTGCTACTAATTTTCCATATTAAGTTAAAGAAAGATATTTTAATTGCTTAACATTTTTATTGAAACCAAACCTCTCAATGGCTTGAAAGAGAATGGTTGGAATTTGTGTTAAAGGTTAAATTTTTTTGAGTGTATCTTTCTTAGGACATTATAAAGTTTCCCATCAAGACTGGTTTTGGGGTTGGGGGGACTTTGTGGTGTTTGGTTTGGGTTTTTTGGGGTTTTTTAGTAAATATTCTGACTTTGTACTAATTAGGCACTAAACCAGGATTGACTTTTAACTTAGGACTCTAGTTTGTTTCTAGTATTCTTAATCTGCTACAAGCTTATAATTTTGCCAGAAGAGCTGTTTTATATGCTTAAAAGTAGGAAATAGGTTTATATTCCTTAATCAGCTTTACGTCCAGAAGTATTCTTATTGTTCCTTCATTGTTTGTGTGTTAAGTGGGGTTTTTTTGTTGTGTTTTTTTCCTATTTCTCCTTGTCTCAGTTCTGTTACGAGCAATTCATAGAGACACAGGCAGCAGTAACAGCAGTTCTGTCTTCAGGAGGTTCTCTTTTTCAGTGGGTTTGAAAGGGAAATGTGTTTAGGCTTCCATTGGTGTTGACTTGTCAAAAGTCCCCCCACACACACCTTTCAGTGCAAAGTCATGCTGTTCAGTTTGACATTTCCCTTGTATGTTTTCCTCAACGTTAGGACAGCAGCTATCTGTTCTGTTGCGAAACACGTGAACTATATAAAGAACAGGCACATCACGTTATGATTTTTACCCTTTAGGCACAGGAGTTCTTAATGAGCAGAATGTTCTGTTGTTTTGCTGGTTTTGGGGGGTTTTTCTGGTTTTGTCTTTTTTTTTTTTTTACTGAGGTTGTTACTTCTTATCTAATAATGCATTTCCTTCAGACTTACATTTTCAGAAATCCAGTAGATAAGGCTTTCTTTCAATAGATTGTAGCATAAACATACAGGTCGTATGGCATTAGTGTTGCAGAACTTCAACTTTTTAATAATTTTCAACAAAAACATTCTGTATTTTCCTGCTTGTGTTCCTCCCTCACAAAATAGTTGAGTACAGGTTAAAAATGTTGTAAAACCCATACCTGCAACTTTAAGAGACCAACAGTGATGCTAGATACTGTAAATGATCATCCTGGGAGCCACACTGTCCGGTTTTGGAGCTGTAAGAAATACAACTGTTGTCTTGCGTTGTAAAGTCTCCTAAGGCCTTGATCGAGTCAGTCAGCAAGCTGTGACTAAGATTAAATGCCAGTGGGTACCTACCATTTTTGTATCTATTTAGAAAAGCGCAGAACAAATACATAGATATGGGAGAGTTCCTGGGAAGCCTGTCTCTAGAAAACTGCACAGAACAGGTAATTCTTTAAACAGAAAAAAAAAAAAACCAAATAAAGACAGAAGCCTTCTTCTAATGGGGTTATATATACATATATATATATATGCATGTTGCAGAATAGTGATCAAACTCCCAACTTCAATGTATTGTACCCTCTAGCTCACTAAAAAGTATTCAGCACCGAAAGATTTTGCATCTTGTTTAGAGGCTAGAACTGGAGGAGGGCTTGTCTGTGTTGGTAGTGTTCGGTTTCTAAGAAGCCATTTCTTCATAAGCTGACTAAAACTCTTCATATTGGCCTGCTGTCACCTGAGCAAGAAAGTAACAGAACCTCACATCAGTTTATGTCGCCGGGATACCCTGTACTCCAGGATGTTTAACCCTGAAAGAAACATGTAAAACTAAAGATTGGAGGTTGCCATACTTCAGTAAGCGAGGCTGGAAACCCACCCATCTCTTCTCTGGCTGTATGGGTAGTATAACTACCTTTCCTCTAGGACTGCAGAAATCTAGACTCCCCTATTTCTTCTGACATTTTTGCATTTAAAAATTACACCAGAATAGACTTTTGGCAGACATTAAGCCAGAAATAGTTCAAGCTTTTCCTTTCTCCTCTCCTGGAAGTCTAAAAAATCAGTTTTGCATATAAAAAGAATATAAAAGTAAGTCGTCGTCGTGTGGGTCCCCCCCGCCTCAAATAATCTAATCTTTCAATGGTAAAACAATCTAAAAATAAAGAGAATGCCTTCAATTTTTGTTACAAAAAGTTTTCCATTCTGGGGAAAAAAGCACTCTGAGTAATAAATCCTGTATTTTATTTGTAAAGATTCTCGAGTCAGCTAATAACTGGCAAATATCTCATTCTGTTTTAAATATGCTACCACAGAGGTAAGATCTATTACACATTTAGTATTACCATGTATTTCGAGGGAATTCCTTGTTACAAAGTAGGGCTGCAAAATAAAACATTGCATGTGCTCATCTAATTACTGTGTTCTCTTACGCTTACAAGCCAGCACACTGCATTTTAATGTGTCCTGTACTGTACATTCATTAAATGGGTACATCTAATCTTTAAATTTTGATCTATATTGGGGGGGGTGGAAATCACACTGGACAACTTTTCTATATAAACGCGACGAAGTGAACTGACTTGTGTTTTTAAATATTTTATTGTCATATGATTAACAAAACGCCTTCAAAACATTCTGTACATTTCAAACTATTTTGAACTGCAATGCCCATTATATAAAGGTACGTGTGTAGATGCCATGATGTCTCTGTACAAAGATGTACAATATGTACAGTAACATTAAATGCAAGCTGTGCAAGGCAAAGTCTAGGCTACAGATTCATGCCACTGGTTAAAACGAGGCATAGAACCACAGCTTCAGTCAGTTCCTTGTGTACAAATAAACAAATAAATGCAGGTATATATTAATGTTAGAAAGGAGCAATTAGATTTGCAAGCTCAGTTCAGCTAGAACAACATGCAGCTGACCGGAAAAAATACAGTACTACCCCTTGTGAACTCTTTCCACTGCATCGCTTTGTTAGGTTGAAACATCTCTTCAGGATTCAGCTGCACTTTTTGGCTGAGCGGAGGCGATGCCAGGAGATCGAAACTTTGGAAGATATAAACCAAACTTATTTTCTATACCAGCAAATGTAGCTGTAGCAAGCCTGTATCCACCAATGTGCTCAGGGTTAACAGGAGGAAGATCTGAAATTCGAGTTTTTGGGATAGGTTCTGCTCCAGAAGGTTTGCTGTTTGAAGAAAGAAAAAGAAAAAACGCCTTTCCTTTATTTAAAGCGTTTTCTTAATCCTGAATAACTTTACAAAATCTAGACTCAATACTTAAGGCTTTTGTCTGCGTATGGAAGACTGTTAAAGCTGACCTTAATTAATTCACTTCTATGGTCAGGTAAAGTTGAGAGTTCAGACCACTACTTCATGGGAAATCAAGGCAGCAACTGAAGTTACATTTTTACTGGTAGCTTTGTAAATTATTTTTATTTCAGTGACACAGGGAAAATGGACAAAATATCTTGCTACAATGGACATAGAAATTTTATGTAGTATATTAAAATAAATATGAAATGATTCTTTATCTCCTCATCTGTTTAGAAGTAGCATGCAAGTTTCTCTCAATTATATAAGGATGGGGGAATTTTTTGCATACTGTAATTTTAAGTACAGGTGCTCAAAGTCACCAAGTTTAAGTGGTCCCATGCGTGAAGAAAAGTAAGATTATTTTTTTTTTAACTTGGCAGGGTTTTTTGTGCACGCTAAAAAGCAAATATTTGACTTACAGGCCTCCAAAATCGACATAAAACCATCTCTGCAGAAGTTCATAAGTGACCAAAGTAACACCAAACTGGGGTGAAGATCTGAACACGCGAGCTGTTAAATATTACAAATCATAGTGTCAAACAAAGAAAAGTTTCTCAGGAGAGAAGCTAAACATTTTTAACAAAATGTTATGTTTTTCAGAATCAGACCCTGCAAATACTGCTCTAATTGGAGTCCTTAACGAAGCAAGTGCTAATTTGCAGATTCGGGGTCAGCCTTCATATTCAGAGTGCATTTCTCACCTCCAGCTCCCTTCCAGAAAGCCGAAGGGCCTTCTTCCCTTAGAATCTTTCCAAAGCAGTCGATAACTCCACTGTATGTTGTCTGACCAGCGCGAGCTGCCACTTGCAGTCTTGTCTTGATGACATCAGCAGGGGTTACCAAAGAAGCAGCAGGCACACCTTTTAGAAGAAAACCACATTTAATTTGCACAAAGAATCTTGTAAAAGATGAAAGGCTTCTAACCGAAAAATGCAACTGCAGACTTCAATATTTTTTGCAAGCATTAGACATTACTAAAAATGCAAGTTCTTACACTTGATGCTAATATAAACTGTTGTTCTTGGTATAATCCTTTTGAGTTTCTTCTAAATTTAAAGGCTATAACTGATAGCCCAGAACATAATAATAAACTATCAGCAGCAATTCTCAACATCTTCTAGTGGTCTGCCATTAACAGTAGTTTGAAATACAGATAAAAGAGGCATTTTTCAATTCACACATATGCTATATAGGTAATAAGAGATATCCATGACAAAAATCAGTTGTGCAACCTTACTGTATTTGCTAATACTCTACAACGTATTTTGCAAATCACGTAGATGATTGATTTGGGAACTTGAATCCTACCCATCCGTTTGTTAAAAGTGTTAGAAGAAAACTACTACCTAGAACAGCTATTCTACAGAAGTATGTCTGGACTGCTGTTTGGACTGTTCTGTAGGAGAATAGATGCTGCTTGCTTCAATAGGCAAGCCATAAAAAGACTGAGGACAATAAAGGTGTTCTACAAGTCTGCTTAGTACCAGCAGCGTGGTATTAGCCAACAGTGATGGAAGAACAAATCTCCACTTCCAAGGCACCACTCTCAGCTTTCTAGTCAAAGGAAAGGAGAAAGTTTTCAGAAATGTACTCCACAGTTATATACAACTGTGTTATCTGAGATATTTCTGAATACTTCTGAATACTGTAAAAATTTCAACCTCTTAAAAAGAGGAACCATCTTCTGACTTAGAGTTTTGAAATTGATTTTGACTTCTGTTGAACCTCTACTATTGGTTAACATTGAATGAAAAGTTTAACGAGTCACTGATTTGCACAGGTGATCATGAACTCTCAAAAGTGTTCCTGGTCAATTCCGGAGGTTTTAAAGGAAAACAGAAGCAATGTAGTTAAGCCTACAAGCACACACTAATAGCAACCATATGCAGATTTTCCTTTACAGGCAGGTATGTTCAGACCGTATTCTTCCCTGCAGCACATACATAACAGGAGTAGATCGAGCAATCGGGAATTTGAAATTTGCAATTCAGAAAGGCAGATTTCCTGTACACGCTGTAAAACTAGGCCTACAAGAGTTACACTCATTTTTAATAGGGTTCATCGCTTAGTGTGAGTGACCCAGAAATAGTAATCAAACGAACGAAGCTGTGAAGTTTGCAATCTAAAAACAGAGAGTCTTTATATGAGATACAAGTTAAATAATAATATTTGTATGTGCTTCTATGAGTACAGTAAGCTAAATAATTTTCCATTTCGGGCAGCTCTGCATTACTTGAGAATAAACAGGGCTACAAATCTGTTACTAGTTTCCTAGCTGGTCTCT